TACAAATTACGTTTTCTGTAAGTGATATTTCGCTCTACTTGTCGGGCTTTGAATGGACAATATCCTCCATAGGCTCATTCATGAACACTTGGTTCTCCAGTTGTTTGAGAAAATTATGGTATGCTTAGGAGGTCAAGCCTTATAGGCAGAAGTGAGTCACAAGGGCTGCACTTTGAGAATGTGTAGCTTCCCCCAACTCCAAATCATTCTCTGTTGTGTATGGTTGAAATAGAGTCTCTCAGTTTCCTGTACTGGTAACTTGTTGCCATATCTCCAGTGGCATCATGAACTCTCTCTATGGACTCTTAACCAAAAATAAGCTTTCTTCCACAAGTCACTTTTGGTCATGGTGCTTTATTACAGCAACAAAAATAACTAATATAGAAGAATAAATAAGAAGTATAATACATTAAAATAATTTAATTTTAGTGAGTGTATGTGTCTTTTTGCAATGTAGTGTGTATGAATACTACTGTATGTATGTGGAAGTTTAGGGATGACTTTTGTGGAATGTGTTCTCTATTTCTTCTTGTATCTAGTTGAGGACTGACCTCAGGCCATCAGGCTTGAACCACTACTGCCTTGAAGCCAGGTGTATCAGGGACCTTCCTTCAAATTCAGTTAACAATATATTCAACAGCTTTTAAAAAAAAATGTTACCTTGCATAATTTTAATTATTTCATACTAAATACTAGTTAATGATTTATTCTTTGTGTACTATATAACTAAGAAAGATTTGATTGCAGGGCTAATAGGAGGGTAAGTAGTAAATTAAAATCAGAGTATTTATTCTATAGTACTAAAAGAATCTACCGAGTAGATGGTGTTCGTAATGCTAAATCTCTTAAGTCTCTTCAGTGAATTATAAGGCCACAGTCTTTAGTAAACATGAGTTCAAATAACTGGAATACAATGTGTTAGTATGAGAATGTTATAAGTAGGATTCAAGGAAAAGGAGTGAATGCTGAAAAGCTTTCCTAAAGAAGAAGCATTCTACTACTCCCTCATGGCTTCAGCTTCCAGGAACAGATGCTACCTAACTTGTAAAGAAGGCAATCTCTAGCCCTATCTCTATTCTTGATCTGATTGTTCTTTTTATTTAAATACAGTCCTTGATGATCCCAAGGAATTTACAATATTATTAAATTTACAATAATATTTACATGAGCTCATTGAGAAAGTATTCAATTAAGTTGAGAAATAAATAACAGGGGATAGATTTTATAGTTTCTATACTTTTATCTGGGACCAATTTTGGAGTTAAAGTCATTGTGTGTATATTCTGAACTACAACACTGTCCTGTATGCAAAGAGCATTTAAAGGGCACTAATTAATAGTAATCGCAGTATGATGGTACAGCTCCAAGGTCCTAATTCACTCTTCATCCCTGGCTAAACATAGCTAAGCCAACTTTGTTCCTAGATGCAAACCCATGTCAAGTAAGTGAATGATGGATATTCATTTGTAGCAGCATCCTCATTTCTGCATAGCCAGGTGGCATGTGATTACTCAGTGGCTGGTTCCTTTAATAGACATAGAATTATGCAAATTAAGATTAACTTGGGCTTTTAGCATCTTTTGATTATGTGTATAGTTTATAATTTAAATTAGTTATCACCTTAGATCAAGTTTTTATTTTTCCTTTTTAAATTAAAAAAATGAATTAATTCTGGAACAGCATTTGCCCAGTTTTCATTAGAAAAATTATCATCATGTTGTGGAGGGATTATTTTCTAGTGTATAGAGAATGTATTTATGAAGTCTTTTGACTTCATAAAATGAAGCTTTAAAGAGTTGTCCAATTAATTTTGTTGAAAATTTCAAAAGGCACTATTTTGCTCTCTGCTGTTTGATGTTCAAATGATCACGTGAGACAGTGATATGTGAGAACATTTTAACACATATTTCACTTGTTTGCAAGTAAGAGTTAACTTTGAAATGTAAAGAAGGATGAAGTCCCAAGTTAGAGTAACATGGTATGTATAATGTCATCCAAAGCATCATATAATGCATAATTGCAGTTGGTGCATTTGTGTGAGTCTGGCAGCACTGCTGAAGAAGTCAGTTGCTTCTTTAGGTAAGATAGATCAGAACACTTTCCAAAGATAATTTGGAATAATGATATGTGTGATTTTTAACTTTCCATGGGGGAAAAATGCTAAAGTCCCAAAGAATCCTAAAAACCTGACGTAACATTTCTACCTTATGCTTATAAGAAAACTGGCCTAACTTATTTGCAGATTTTGTAGGGCTTAGGATGGGGTTATGGGATATAGTGGCCATATGACCTTTCTCTGCGCTTGTGAACCTGCTAGTTGATGTGGAAAGTATTTTCAAAATGCCTATTTTATTCTAGATTTGCTTTGGGAAATATCCAAATGAATCATGCTAAAAATTTATTTAGTAAATTGATAAACAATACACATGAATAAGATGAACAGGCTTGGGGTCCATTTCTTTTTTACTAAAAATTTTAAGATGAAACATAACTACATCATTTACTACCTTTCTTTTTATCCCTCTAGCCCCTCCCACATCCCCTATGTCAACCTCTTCCTAACCACCCAACTCCATTGCAAATAGAAAGTTTTCTTTTGTTTGATTATTGTTGTTCTTTTAGCGTAGCCTGCATGTATAAGAAACTCAGTACTGGACACTTTTTACTGGATAATGAGTTAGAGGCTCATCTCTGGGAGAAGCTAATATGCCCTGTCTCGGTTGTCATTGCCTGCCTGTAGCTCTTTGTCTTGGTGTTGGACACAGCAACATTCCTACCTTCTGGGTTAACATGTCTACCAATATTGTCATTGTTAAGATTCTATTTAGGAAGTAGTATTATTAAGGTATTATGGTTAGGCTGCCACATTGTTGAACTATCATGGGGATGGCTTCCCTGTCATTTGTAGTGGACACAATTTCAAGGCAGACTTCATGAGCTTTTACAATCTTTCTGTCATCTCTTCAACAATATTCTCTGAGCATTAGGTGCAAAAGATTTTTGGACATGTGCACATTGTGGCTGAGCTCACATTCCATTTATCTATGCATTATGATAAACATATAACAGCCATTTTCTGAACTATAGGACATTTAGAGAAATTCTCTACGATATAGTAAGCTTGATATTTGCTGTTTTGTGCTATGAATATGAAAAAAGTACAAGGAACATGTGTTTGGAGATTTAAAATAAACTTATACAGGTTCAGGTTCATCCTTTCCAAAAGAAAGGAACAAAAAGATCAATGTCTACATTCTATGGCTCTATTAGTGCTGCAGATGATAGACAATATACTATCGCTTAATTCGAAGTGACCCAAAATAGAAAAAAATTTTTGATGGTACTCAGATCAGAGAAGTGATGCCAAAGAACTGGGAACAACGGTCTGGAAGGAAAGAGCGATCGTGGACAGGTATTGCTGGGGTATTATGGTTAGGCTACCATATTGTTGAAATATCATGGGGATAGCTTACTTGCCCATGAAGGAAGTGCCATGTTCCTTGTAGAGTAGGCATACATTACCAAAAATTTTAGTTTTCCCTAAAAGCATCTGTGAGTCAGGGAAGATACATCCTGGAAAAATGGAAGTAACACCTAGCCTTTGAAATGAGCTTTGTTTGTGGAAAGAAGAAATATAAGACCTGTACATCTTTGCATCCAATGTGTCAAAAGTTTCACTCTTAAAAAAAGTACCATTTACCTGCACATAGTAAGGTAAGAAGGTCTTTGCATGGTATATAAGGTATATTAAAGACTGTACATCTCTTCTTGTTATGAGAGATGGAGTTTGGCCTCTAGAGCCAAGTGTGGACAACTCAGAATTCCTCATGCTTCCTCCCTATGCACAGGTATAGGCATTGTGTTTCCTCTCTGGAAGAATTTATATTTGATTTGACTTAGAAAATAAAAGAGAATGTGTTGTTTTAATCGTCCTCTTGTCCTAGAAAATTTTGCCCTTGTTTTTTGCTCCAAAGTGTTGAGCAGCTGGCTCTGCATCTGTTAACAGGGCTTGGGTCCTTTTTACTGCTGTAGGGTAGGCATACATCTTGCCATAGGGATGTATAGAGAAAGTAGGTTTTTGTTTTCGTAGTCCAACTTTGATAACATAAAATTCAAGGAAATCAATGCATTTTTCTATAACTTACATATCTCTCTCCCTCCCTCCCTCCCTCCCTCCCTTCCTCTCTCTCTCTCTCTCTCTCTCTCACACACACACACACACACACACACACACACACACCTTGTCTTTTACACTATTATTTAGTATTTATCTTCTTTAGAATATGAGTATCAGTCTGTTTTCTGCATCTCATCCAGAAGATGGCTTTATTTAATATGATCAGAAATGTTGGTATCAAACTAACTCATCATCAAGAAGCCTGTTACTCTCAGCAGATGGAATAGAACATAAACCAGATAATGTTTGCTTTGATTTTCATGATACAGCATCAGACTGCTCACCCCTGAACAACAACAACAAAAAATACACAATGCTCATCCCAGGGCATGAGCACTTTAAGTGTGTCAGGGTCACAAGTGAACTCTGAAATCTAGTCTAATTCTTATAAATACAGATTATAAGTCACAGGTCATGCCCATGGATGAATAAGCTCAGTCTGAGATGCCGTGAATGTGCTACAGTATCAATTGTATGGTTCGCAAAAATACTTAAGCAGATGGAGTTTTATGGGATGACCTTTTCATAAACATGAAGAAGATAATCTGGTGGGGAGTCAATAATCAAACTGTACTGGGTTTTGTAACTCACATTCAAGTTGTTTATTGCTGATTCAAATCTAGTAAAATAGCATTTACACACTGGGTGGTGACTGGCTCTTAAAGGAAATGGTGAAAATACTTAGTCTTCTCAGAAATTTCATGACAATGATTTATTATGCCTGTAATTATTTGTCTCGATTGGTCTTGTTGAGCCCTTTCATGCAGACAATGAAACCAAACGGAAACGGTGAGGCACTAATAGGATTACTCTGCTCTATTAGGTGTGTGGTAGAAGACAAGAACTCGAAAGTGGCCTGGTTGAATCGCTCTGGCATCATTTTCGCTGGACACGACAAGTGGTCTCTGGACCCTCGGGTTGAGCTGGAGAAACGCCATGCTCTGGAATACAGCCTCCGGATCCAGAAGGTGGATGTCTATGATGAAGGATCCTACACATGCTCAGTTCAGACACAGCATGAGCCCAAGACCTCCCAAGTTTACTTGATCGTACAAGGTAAGGAGGAAGTGAATTAAGAGAGCAAGCCATGGGGAGTGGCTGCATTGAGCAAAGCATGGGCAGAGTTCTTTCTGGAAAAAAAGATCATTCTATAGTATATATTTTTCTTCTAGAAGATGGTTTTGAAAAGAAAGAACTAGGAAAATCTGTACTAATTTTCTGGTGATGTGGTGATGTGTCTTCAGTTGTTGTTCTATCTTTGATTAAGAAAACATAAAACAAAGCTACAGCTGTCTTAACATAAGTGTACACAATATTTAAATTCTTAAGAAGCTCTTTTATTTCCTTTAGATTCTTTGCGGAGTTTAAGAAAGTGTTTTTTTTTTTCCAATGTAACTTTTCCCTAAAGATCAGTATTAATTTTTTGTTTATGTGGTAGTAAAGGACTTTTAGAAAAATAAAAATTGCTAGGGGCTTTGACCCCTTCTCACCTGGTTGCCTTTCTTTGTGGCTTGTATCTTTATTTAATAATTTATTGTAAGCCAGTCTAAAGTTTGGGCTTTGTAAAGTCATAGGGGAAATATTTGTTTCTAGATTGGGGTTTCCTGGGACATGCCTCAGTCATGGTTTTTCAGGATTAAAAATTTTAAAGCATACACATAAGCCCATACACTGTGACTTTTCTTGGGCTCCCTTTCCCTTGAAAACAAATCTGATTGCTTACACAATTTTATTTCAGGCAAAGTCACACCTTCAACAGATTCCATCCATCTATTGAGAAAGATCTAAGCATTGATAAATATTAGGGCTGTGTTCCTGTGTTTTTTATTTAAAATTTTATGCAAATTTAATGCAAAGTAAACATGGCTTTAGGGTTCTTGTCAGTATTCCAAATGCAGTCAGTGATGTGGCAAAGTTGGACTATAGCTACTATTAATGTGTTAGGGAACAAGTTATCACAGCTTTTAAAGTATTGCTTTCCCAGATCTTCTCACTAATAAACTAAAACCAAGATAAAACATATCAAAGTCTACATGTTACAAGGGTGCTTTGGTCATGTGACTTCATTGTAGTCCATTTACAAATGACTGACAGCTTCATTTTATTTCTTGGGTAAGGCATTTTTATGGTGTATGAAATTCCAAATATGGCCATATTTCTTTGAAGATTAGTTGCAAGTGCTTGAACCAGAGAACAAGACACACTATGGTTGGGATATTAGGGAACACATTTAATGGTTGAATATATCTAGTGATGTGTGATTATGTCAAAAGGTTACGTTGCTCACTTTTATAAAGTACAAACAAGCATTCACAGATAGAAAGACATACACACACACACACACACAGGCACACACACAAACACACCTATCTCAAAATATAGAATTTCTACTTGATTTGTGTTACATAAATTAATCTATTTATATTAAAGAATCTTTAGAACAGATGCTACCTAATGGCCAGTCATTGCTTTTTTTACATAATTCTGTATCATAGGTCATTCTTCAAAAAGTAGTCACTTGATTGTGAAATTATTACACAATTTTACTACCTCTCAACCTTCATTATTATTAAAAGGTACCTATAGACCAAAGGATGTGTTGAGTATAGTCCTCAACAAAATCTGGTTGACAATTTGAGTATTAAAAGGTTTTGTTTGAAAATGAGGAAACCTGATACCAGTTACCTGCTCAAGGTTGTCACAGAGGCTGTGAAGTAGCTGAGTTACAATCAGATTTAACAATATTTCCACTGTGTTTAAATAGTTTTGCCATGACCATAATAATAACTGTTTTCAAGATTTATATTTAGGCCTAAGTTCTTACCACAAAATCCTCAAAGTCCCTTCCTTTGCCTGTATTTGTCCTTGTTTGCTTAAATTAAAACCATGATAAGGAACTTTTAGAACCAGATTTCAGCGCAAATTAAATTAACTTTAATATTAAAAAACAGAAAAGAGCCTGTTGATAGGCAAGTGGTATTTATTCACCATCCTGTGTAATTTGATTATTAGTAAGTAGACATGGATAACTTTATTATGAACAAAAGCTTAAATTGAATGTCATCAACAAAACTGTCCAAGGTATCATCTCACCTTATAACAGGGTTTGAAGAACATTTATGTTTGCTACAAATATTATATTTCCATCTTAGTCACATTGCCTTGAACGAGGAGAGAAAAAAATCCTGCCTGTACTTAAACAGAAAGGGAAGAGGGATTTTCTCCTCCTTGAGTCTGGATCACAAAGAGGAATGCCTGGGTATACTAACATGTTAGCGTTGATCTCTTCCTTCCCAAGGGTTTTATCACTTCATACATTTCCTGTATTGTACCACAGCAGAACATTACGAAGCGTTGCACCACATCAAAGTTTTTACTTCTAGGAGCTGGAGTGAAGACTCTGGATTTGAACCCCAGCACTGCAAAGACAAACCAATATTCTACTTCAAGCTGTAGTAGCATTCGTTCCTCTTTAATTGGTCCCTGGCTTCAAAAATCTGAAGAGTTTGTCAATATTTCATATTCCACATCCATCACCCTTCAGAGTCTCTGCCAACCCACCTTAGGTACTCATTCAGTAGTTTTTATTTTTTTTCTTGACTAAAAGTGAGGTCACTGTTATCTCTAAGATGCTGTAAGGTAACACGGGGAACAGTCATTAAAGGATGGGTTTTACAGTCACCCATTCCCAGAGCTAAATCACAGGTTTCTTCATCCTACTCGAATTAACCTCAGAGAAAGCCACTTTATCTCAGTAAGGCTCAATTTTGACATACGAAAAGTAGAGATGAAATTTAGAGGGTTCTGATCTAAGTTTGTTTTGAGGATTAAATAATGTTTTCTTATCCTACTTGATGTCTAGTGATCATCTATTCTCCACAATAGGGAATGATGATGAGGTGATGGTGTTGATGATGAAGAAAGTTCAGAGGGTCACGCTGTGGCTTCTTCTCCACTGTTTCTATGCAGCTCACTCCTCTACCTCCCAGAATGTAGCAACTGCTTTGACGCTCTGCTTGTTAATATTGGGCAAATGTTAATTTACAGAGGTGTCTCTCCTTCTGAAAAGAATACCTACTTTTACATTGTTTCCTACAGTTACAGAGATGGTTGACTAAAAACAAAAACCAAATGCAGTTTGTATTATATCACTTAGATGATTTATTAGATTGGTTTAAAAAAAACTCCCCAGAATCTCCGATTTGGCAAATAAGAGTAATGTCTGGAGAGATGAGTTTATAAATTTCTAAGCGATGCTCAGGCTTCCAATGTAGGCCAGAAAAATAGAGAGTCAGTGTCCTAAGATGATTATAAGAATCTGTAGAATCAGGAAGTGGTGCTGCCTGGTTAAACTGATTTCTGATGATTGTGTGTGTAAATATTCCAAAGACTTAGAATGTGAGATGCACAAATCAATGCTGAGTTTCTTAGATGTCATAGCCTTGAAGGCCAGCTCCATAGAACACCCTAGAGAGACAGTCTCCATACATGAGCATTTTCAGGTTTCAAAGCAAAGACTGTTTTACACTGTTATACTCTTCAGAACTTTCACTTTTATATGTGTGCTAGTGTTTATTTGTTCCTTTTCTCCTTATACATTACTTTCCTAGAAGCCATTTATTTATTTGTTTAACTTTCAAACATTCTAAATATACTAGTGGCTTTTCCTTTTCGATATCTTTCACATTGCTGATTATTTCTCACAGAAAATATGTTTCTTAGTTTATAAAGATCATTACATATAAAATATCCTGTACTAAAAAAGTATGCTATGGGATTCAATAAACTCTCTTTGTCTATGTGGCAGCTACACATAGCTTCCTTACATGTCACACATGATAAAGTCTGGCCTCAGCAAAAGCATAAGTCAGTATTGACCAGTAGGGTCACTTGTGATTATTTGGTAATTTATATTCTCCCTGAAAAAGACAAGGTTACCCACCAAGGTTACCTAAATCTAAACATGCATTCTACTTAACAAATACGGGGACCCCTATATAAACCCTAATATTTGGTGTCTATGCCTGCTAGTTTATCGAGTCCAGGATCAAAGAGTAAGAACACACCAGTTTTAATATCAATAAAATAAGGAAGTAAATAAATATTAAAGAAATCCTTTCTGCTACCAATGTACACGCCATTTTTTCTGAAGGTTACTCTGATATGGCTTCTTGGTCTTTTGAACATACTACCAGCGGAAGCACATGTGCTAAGGCAACATAATTCATCTCTAGTTATGATCATTGCACAATTTGAGATTAAACCCAACCCTTCAGTTTAGTCAAAGTGCTGGTGCCTGAGAATCATATTCAGAACCATGAAATCAGACTTGAGGGGTGGGTCAACACCTTCAAGTTCATTATCATTGCCAGCCATTCAGATGCACACAAATCAAGGACTAGTATTCTGTGGATCTAAGAATGGGAGAGGCTTCCTGCCTTCTACCAGTTCATCTTCCTGTGTGACACTACAAATTATGTCTAAGAGTATTCAGAATAAGTATTAGAGTATTATAATAGTAAAAACTAACATAAACCTGAATACATTGATGAATTGAAGTGTTTTAACTATGACAACAATAGCCTCAAAGTGGATATTTGTTTAGAAATTTCATGTATATTTGGATATAAGCACAATAATATTTTTAAAAACTGAACATTATTTTAAATACCCATTCACCATAAATTATAACTACCATTTGGTTTACAACTTACAAACCTAAAATGCATGATTCATAGGTTTATAGCAATGTTAGAGTAACTATTCCCATGCTCAGTCTTTTATTCTTTTTATGCTATTCTATTTTAGTTAACATTTAAAAATAAATAAATAACTTGATCTGAAAACACTAAAATAAGATATTATTAATAAAACAGTTTTAAGTCTGAACTGTTTTTCAAATAGATTAATAAATTTCACTACAATATAGAGTATGAAATTTTTCCTACCACAATGACTTAAATCACACCCAAGTGTACATGTATACATCCTTGGCAGGAAATTTGTTGCATAATCACCTCAATTAAAGCAATATGATTGTGAAAAATATTGAGAGT